AGATAAATATGAACTCAAACAATACCGCCTCGTTGAATGTCTTATAAAGAAGTTAATTAATGCAAAATGGGCAAACAATTTCAATGAAATTTGCATATATATATTCTATAAATTCTACGGAATGTTTGGCGTTAATATGTTTGTAGTTCGTTTTTTCGATTTTTCTCACTAAAGTTTTTTGGTGAACGTTTAGTTTATTAAAATTCAAAATAAACTTATTTTTCGAATTCATGCTGCAAATAAGGCCATATTTCGATTCCGAATGAATCATCGTCAGTGCTCCTTGTTGTATATATAGGGAAATATTGACTTTGTCAAGATTAACTTTGACGTTGTAAAAATTAACTTTGGTGTTGTAAAATTGAACTTTGATGCGAATTAGGTGTCAGGTTTCTTAATTGGCTGGTCATCTTCTTTGGTCTCCTTTTCTTCATCGATAGCATCATATTTTTCTTTGTCACTATTTACGATGCTAGTTTTTATTACTTCTTTGTTTTCGTTGTTGGTTAAGCGCCGGGTTGGAAGTGAGGTTGTCATTTTTTGTTGTATATTTATTTTTGGTTTATTGATGTCAATTAGGACTGCTTCTGCAATTTTAAGATGCGTGTAGTTGCTGTTATGATATATTACTTTGGTGTTGCTGTCGAGGATTTTACGGCTAATTGTGATTGAGTGTGTTGAGTCCAAATGAGATTTGATAGCACCACTCTGTTTATGCATCGTAAGCCTTCTAGTCAGTCAGGTAGTAGTAATCCCGATATATGAGTCATGTTGACGTGCACAGCCGTCAAAGGGGCAATTAAATTCATATATTACGTGATTACGCTTTAACTCAGAGTTATCTCTAGGACTGCAGTTGTTTTTCAGTATTAGGTTAGACGTCTTTTTATTGTTGTAATAAATTCGGAGTTTAACTTTACTATTTGGGTTGGTTGGTGTGACATTTTTATTGATGATATGCTTAAGAATAGCTTCATCTACGTTGTATGCTGTTGACATGTGATTTCTGTAATACAAGATAATGTCGTTATGTTGATTGTTGGTACTAGGAAGGTTATTGCTGAGTAATAATTTGTTTTTAACAATCTTTTCAATAGAGTAAGTCTTATATCCATTGTTTACAAGCTGGTTAGTGAATAATAAATTACTTGTTCCTTTATATCAAATATCACTGAAGATGAGTTATTTATAACTCGAAATAGCTATTTGCAAATTTATTTAATAAAAATTTTTTAAAAAACAATAAAATGTCTAATTTCTCTGAAATTAATAAATTAAAAAGAAATATAAAAAAGTTGAACAATGTTGAAAGTAGTGTTGAATTTTTAAAATGTTGCGTTAACAACAGTCTGTTACCAAAATATATATATATATTTATATATTAGGGTGGGTCGAATTTTTTTATCTTTCCTGTACATGAACAAAAAGTTGTCTTGGCATCAGTACAGTATGAAAATAATATTTAAAGATTTTTTATGAAACGTTTAGGGGTCCCAACTTTTGATTAAAGTCTTACCTTATTTGGTGTATTTTAACCATTTCCTTGGTACAATCTAAATACGTACCAACTATAAATCATTGACTAAAATGCATTGGCGAATGGCTTAGCACCTAACTACAAGTGCTAAAAAAGAAATGAAGTATATTTTATAACGTTATTTACATGTGACGTCACCATGTGACGTCACAAACCATGTGCTGGATTTTTTAGAAACAAGCAAAATATCTAATATATTATTTTGTAATTTTGTTTTCTTCTTTGCAATAATAGATCTGTAGTAAAATTCAAGTAGGCTAATATAGATGTACACTACAGTAGGCTATAGTCTAGACTGTAGATAAATCACTTCATTTAACATGTAGGCCTCTTTATGAGAGGGCTAAAACATATTATAGTGTGTATAAATATTGAAATATTTATTGACTAAATTCTTATGAAAAATTGTTTTAACAGCTTTTATTTATTATAAACATAACTTGTTGTAGTTTTTTTATTATTTTAGACAAATTATATTAAATATGGATAGTATGTATACACGAAGTGCAACTAAACATCCATTGTTTGGACAGTTAGTTGATCTTCCTGAAAATCAAATCCCATCATATGAAGACGTTATTAAGGCGTTCTATTATAATCAGAAAACAGTATTAGAAATTAGCTTGCAAGAAAGATATTCAATTTTAGCAGACAGAGTGAAAAGTGTTTATTCAAAAACAAGTAGACCATTACAGTGGTTGGTATGCCTTTTACACTGTAAGAAGGTTTTTGGCAGGCGTGGATTTTGCTCGAACTACAGGACCTTCCACATCGACAGGTACAATTAGCTCAGCTCTAGAATATGATCCGAATGAATTGCCTGTCGTTAATTATTTGCCAATTACTGGTAAGGTGACTGATTGTGATGAAGCTGTCAAGAAGGATCTTAGCACAGACCAACTGTACTTTTTGAAAGCATGTCTAGCAGTACAGCGTGGACGTCAGGTTTCTACAAATATTGATTTCCTCGAGAAGAGTTTACCTGGAAATATAAGTCATGCTCGATGGTTGACGAAAGCCAACAGGATTTTGCGTCTCTACATGTCTAAAAAAGTGGCATCTGAACCTCTCAGAAGAGTAACGCATTTCATTTTAAACCTTTACGGACCCTCTTGGTTCAAAATTAAATCAAATTCTTCTTGCCAAAATGGTGCTAACAACTTCTTTTACTTAGTTCAGTTGTTTCAGGAACTTGATGCATTAGATCAGGCTGTGGTTCGTCCTGTTCTCGAAAATAACTGCTACTTTGCGCATGCTGAAAACATTCTCTTAGCTGCAGTTAGTGATAGTGATATGGAAATTGGTCGTTTTTCAGTAGAACAAATAATAAGAGCAAGGGAGAAGCAGACTAATAATAACATACCGGTTGGCGTCTTTGATAAGAAGAATATAACATTATATCTGGCTGCGACATAGTTCATTAACATGATTGACTGGGACCAGAGTAATGTTACGTCTCCTCCGATGCTATCACACCTTTCAAATGATCAACTTAATTACACACATCCAATACTACTGCCCGATGTTCCATGTCATTCACAGGCAGTAGAGAGAACAATTAAAGACGTTAGCGCTGCCAGCTGTAAAGTTTATGGGAGAAAGTCCCGTCATGGCATGGTGTTACAGAGTAAAAAATCCAGATTAGAGATACCAAAAATAGACAGCAAGAAAGATTTTATTAACAGTTAGGTTAAAGAACTTTGTATTGTTGCTGTTTAACATTGATTCGTTACAGTTTACATTCTTTTTAATTTGTAATACATTGCAATAAATTACACTAACATTGGGTATTTATTTAGTCTTTCTAGTCAGAGTTGTGACCTGTAGACACTGTCCATAAAATAAAAAGTGAGGTTTTTTCAAACGGGTACATCAAAAAGCAACTTTTTAGACATGTACAGGATCTCCAACTTAATATTTTTTACATTTCGACTCACCTTAATATATATATATATATATATATATATATATATATATATATATATATATCATGTTTTATCATTTCTCTTCCTCACTTTTTGTATTTATTTTCTCACTTATTTGTTTAATTTTGTTTTACTGCCTTGCATGTTGTTACAGTTTCTGCGTTTGTCAGATCCTGATTTTTAAAGAGTAATAATATATATATATAATTTATAAGAGTAATAATATATATATATAATTTTTTGGGTTGAATAGTTTTTTTATTTTTCGAATTGGAAAACTGTATATTATTCTAAATTTAATAAATTAAATAATGAAAACGAGAATTTGGTTAGAAATATTGAGAAATGTAATAAAAAAAACTATCCATCGCAAACACATACAAATATATCTATATATATATGTATGTGTGTGCTTTTAATGTTCTTAATTCATGCTCTATTTATTTATAGCAATAGTATGCGTTAATGCTGCGCACTTTTCGATTTTGAAACTTTAACCTTGTTTAAGGAAATTTTAATTATAATCTGTTGTTTTTTATATTCGTGAAAAGGTTGCTTATTAATATAAATAAATACACTGCTTAGATAATTTGTTATTGAGATGGAAAATATTCTTTGAGACTTTGGATCCAAAAAGTTATCAATTTTTTTAAATAAATATTTTTTGATTCCGCAGATGAAACTGACGAAAGTAAAATTTATTCTTCCTCCGGAGGTCATAAACTCAAAATCTGAAGTGAATTATCTACCTATCCCTCCGAGAAAACGATATCTTATGGAATCTAGTGGAAGTGGATTTATCGAGTCTCGCAATATTTTTGATGAACTAATAAAACATTTAATCATTCCCCCACCTCCAGTTATTAGAGAAGACATCGATCCTGATTTTTTGTTATCAAAATTGAAGAATAAACTTAATGATGTAGAAAAAACATTGCAGATAGCAAATCATGGCATTTATTTCAAGATCACATTAAATGAAACGAACATTGCAAAAATTGATAACGAAACAGATGCTGCAAGTGAAGTTAGTGCTTTTACGCATAACAAAATACTTTGTTTAAATACTATGAATAACGAGCATAAAGAGCAACATCCGATTCAAAAGATTCAAAAGTCATCATCTATTTCTGGCATAGATTACGCAAACAAAGAAAATGTATTGAGTTACAGACCAACACTTGAAAGCTCATCTTCCCTAGCTTCAATCAAATCAAAAATGCGTCTTTCGTTAAATTCACAGGAAAAACGTAAAAGCAATTGTTTCTCAAAATTTCAGTTGATACAAAACAATAAACAGTTTTCATTTCGAGATTTATTGTCATTTTTATCTCAAAAATTTCCCTCGTGTACGCGCATTTCAACTCATGATTAACTATTATCATTATCAAATTTTGTGTGTGTGTCAGAAAACCTAGTTTTGTCAATGAATATTTTATTAATGTTAACATTTCAAAGAATCACATCAAATTAATCGATTCTAACATAATGGACGACTTAAGTATGCTTTTAAGTGACATTATTTAACGGGGGGAGGGCAAAATTTTGAAAATGTATATAATTTAACTGGGCCATTTGTGGTAGTGTTTTTTAAGCTTTTACATCCATTTTTAGTCAATTTTCCACATAAAACGGTATTTTTTCTGTTAAAACAATTACTTTTATTGACTTTATTAAAAATACTGCTCACAACGGGGTGGACACTAGCCTTCGGCCCCCCTTAGATCCGCCAATGAGTGGCATAATGTGTTATACGTAAAATAGATTTTTAATAATGAATGCATTTAATATTTTGTTTTGTATTTTTTTTTTCTTAAAAAATGCAAATTATATTTTTTTAAAATCTACTCTCGGTTTTAATTGATTAAGAAACTTGTCATGTGTCTATGTATCCAGCACTTAATATTAAATTCATGTTTTGCCCATAATACTAAATTGTAGACGTTATATTTTTATCCTGATGTTAAAAATTATCATAAATGTTAAAAATTTTGTTTCTGGAATATTTGGTTTTTAAAACATTTAAATTTATTTATTTTAACGTTTAAAGTTATAATTTAAAGCGGCGCATAATTGCCTGATTTATGAAGCATTTGTTTGTGTAAACAAAAACCGAGCAAAATGAAATTTTGACAGTTTATTTTAATTTATTAACGTATTCAGTTTATAGCAATAATATTTTTAATATTATTTAAAAATTAATTTTCACACTTTTTCATGTATATTTGTAATTTTTACCGAGAATTTCACATTGAAACTCTGAATTATGTTTAATATTTTTTGCCGATTTTTACTGAAATAGTTATTTTCGATAACATTCTTGGACTTTAGTTCAGAATTTATTTTAAACTTTTTTTCGGTAATGTGGATCAATTTTACGGGAGCATGTGAATCATAAGAATTATCAAAAATATTTTACCTAGGCTGCCATGAAACAATTACGTGAAAAATTCATTAAATAGAAAAGATAATATTATTATATAATATATTAACTTATTTTACCTATGATATAAGATTGACAGAAAAATGTAAATGAACCATAGACTTAATTTTCGAAAGTTTCAATTTGAGGAACAATACAATTCTTATCGTAGACGCAAAAATCTCATGTTGATGTTAGAAATTTGCAGTAATTTTAGATATTTGCTGATATATACTGAAACCATGAATCAAATGATGATAGAAGGTTAGGTTGTAAATGGAGTGTTGAGAGAAAGATTGATGAGTTGAATTGACTAAAATCTGCAGCGTTGATAGTTTTTCCCATAATATTAAAAAAATATAAGTTTGATTTATTTTTAAAAACAGAAAAAATTCTAACGTTGAAAACATGCACACATTTCTGAAGATATTTTTGAGTTTGGGATAAGTATATTTATTACCAGTTTGAGTCCATCATTAATTATAAGCCAGAAGTAAATCACGAGTTGTCTTATCAATGATTGATTCCGATAGTGTAATAGAACATACAACAGGTTGCTAATTAGCCCTTGAGAACAAATGACATAATACTGCATTTTTATTTCAAAAGTGTCATAGTATCTTATACAAATTTCTATATTTATAAAAAATAAATAAGCCAAAATTAAAACTGTTGAAAGTCATTTTGCAAAATTTCAATTTTTTACGCTGCGTGTAATTAATGACTTCTATATTTAATTATTCAGATTACATATGACGCAATACATTGAAACAATTGTTTAACAAATTTATTGTATATGACTTGATTTAAAACACCCAGATAGGGCCATTCAAAAATTATGACACGCTAGGGTGAGCGGCGGAGGAGGTTCGTTCAACATGACAGTGTGTGACAGGAGGAGAGAGAGGAGTTAACCTGATGCGTACATACACATACTATCTTTAGGCTGCTGTCGAAGTTCCGATACGTTCCAACGTTCTAGTTCTAGTAAAGTTCGATATTTAGGCCATTTAACTTTGGGGCCATTCAATAGTTAAGTCACGTTTTTTATGCCATTTTTAACCCTTCCTCCCTCCCTGTCACATCCTGTCACGCTCAGCTGACCCCCCCCCTCAATAATTTTCACAACCGACCCACCCCCCATTCTACGACATTTAATAATTTATAGATTATCAATAACATCATGAACTAAGTACAAAGTTTTAAATCAGAATAAAAATGTCTCGTACAAATCAAGATATGTGTGTGGACCATCATTCAATAGTGAACATCCTCACCAATGTTTTAATAATGTAGACATATTTATTCTATCGCAATTTTCAAGTTTCTGGCGTTTACTGTTCAATTTTAATATTAAGCAATAGGAAATAAAACACATAATTTTTTTGTGTACAGGATTGAATGTAGACAATGCTGGCAATGATACACACTTTTCATTGCTTACAACGAGCAACATCTGGCAACATTGTGGAACGAACGGTAGAATTAGCTATGAACATGATCTGGATCTTTACGAGACATTTTTATTCTGATTTAAAACTTTGTGACGGGATGTGACAGAGAGAGGGCATGGGTTAAAAATGGCGTAAAAAAGTGTGACATAATTATTAAATGGCCCCTATACGGAAAAATTTGATTTCACACGTACAATAATTATCTTTGAAAATTAGTTATCTTTCTTTTCGTTTGTTTCTTCGACTGAGTTTGCCGATAATTTGAGTAAGAATTGCCACGTGAAGTGAAATCCAGTATAATCGGAAAAATTAGAGATCAAGTATCATCATTAAAATTTTGATCTACCAGCTACACAAGTGAGCCTGGAAGCATCTGTTTCTGGATTAAAATTTATCCTCAGAGACTGCAGAAGTGGTTTCAATAAAAACATTTTAGAAGATATATTAATAATCAGAGGAAATTTTCATCTTTTTTGAAACAATCTTATATTTATATTAGTGATTTCAAAATATCTTTGTAATGATTGTTTTAATTTGTTGAAAAAAATTATTAGAAACGTTTCCTGATAACTAACTGATCACATTTAAAAATCCTTTTTGTTATTGATTTCTTATTATTCACAATCTAAAATATAATTCAAATTGGCATTGTGGTGATAGTTGGATGTCCATATGTCCGTTACATACGTTTAAGGAATTAGGGTAACGTGGGGCAAAACGCCGCATGGGGTAAAAAGCCTAAATTCAGTTTGCACGAAATTTGTTTCAGACCGAAAGTTTTTCAATTAATTTTTAAAAATTAGAACGTACCCTAATTATTTTGAATATAAAACCACACCGTTTCTCCATTTGTTTTTTCTGTTTCAGAGTTTTATATAATTTGCGAGTGAAAAATTGGTCGTGTTATAAATTTTGTGTTCGGTTTTTAATTAATTTCTTGATAATAAGATCGTTATTTGTAAAGAAAAGAGGTTTTTTATGAAGAAAAATCATTTTCACATATACAAAAGTAACTTCTAATCGGTTGGAACAATTTTTTGTATTTTTAAATTAAATTTATTCTTAACATTGTCTATGGAGGTAAAACGCCTCTGTAATTTAGGGGCAAGAGGCCCAATTTACATTTATTGAACTATTTAACAAATTTCAGATATTTGTATGTAGGCAGCTATCCTTGTAGTTAATTGTTAAAATGTATTGGAATTTATGCTTTATGTGTAAATTAGTTTCATGTATTTTAATTTTTTAAGGTATAAAATGGTCAGAAATTATGTAAGAAAATCTACACGATGCTCAACTTATGATGGTGAAAGTTGGAAAAAAGCCTTGGATGCTCTAACCAATGGCCAGTTATTTAGTAAAGTTATTAGAGAATATGGAGTTCCTGCAAGAACTTTAAGAAGACATCAAAAAGCCATGACAACATCTCCGGTAACTATAAAGCTTAGTCGGTTGTCAAGCGATCTAAAGATTTGACTCCTTGTGGGACATGTTCATAAATATTTTGTACAATAAAACTGTTAACATTTTTTTTACATTTTCAGATTTGAAACTATTTTTAAGGTTTATTTTAAGTTTTTCTACACAGGCCTTTTGCCCCATGCATGGGGCAAAAACCCCATTTTATAGAGGTCTACGGTTTGTGTTATAAAACATAGGAAACCTAAGTTTGAACAATTTAATTTGTAAAATTAGATAAAGAACATATTTATCTAGTAAAATAATCACTAATGTTGTAGAAATATTCCATTTTTTAGATGTAGTCACTCATCGAAGGCTTAACTATGGCTTCTTGCCCCACCCTACCCTATGCTTGAAAAAATTAAGTTTCGGAGCCAAACCGAAAACCGAAAAAATCGATATTATTTCAGAAACGAAAACCGGAAACGAACCAAAATTCGATTTGCTGATTGAACCGAAACCGTAAACCAAAACGAAAAAAATTACGGTTCGATGCCCTGATTTAAAATTGGAGCTTATATTATTTTCTTTCCGTAACCACAGAAAAATAGCTTATAAATATTCGCAATTTCAATCATTCTATTATCGCTTTATAAATTTATACAAAATGCGGTTATAATGATTCTATCAAGACGTAGTAGTTTAAAAACAGATGAAGTATCAAAATTTAAAAAGTGCTTTTTTAATATTGTTCAGTTGTAAAAAATTCATCAACTTAAAATTATTTGGCCACAAAATTTGAGAAAAATCAATGGCTGTGAAGAGTCTTTGAGACTTATCGAGCACAGCCACCTTTTCAAAATATGATATATAATTGTCAGTTTCATATATATGTATATATATATATATATATATATATATACATACACATATACATACATACACACACACACACACATATATATATATACATACATACGCACATATGCTTACAAGATAAACAAACATATACAGTCATATATTAAAACAAATAAGCCGCAATCTTACTAACAAATTATAAAAATATATAAGAAGATTAACACATATATAATTAAAATTATTAAACAAAAACCAAGATAAACATACAGCATGTTCGTACACATCTACATGTCATTACCAAAAATAATTGACAAAATTTGAACTTTCGCAAAATACAACTTAATAATCACAATCACAGTTTATTAAAAACTATTTCAATTTATTTCTTAAATTTTTCACATTAAAGATATCTACAGGAAAACCCATTTGTAAAACGTGGTTCCAGCTTCTTGGACCCCTGCATATGATATGGTTGAAGAGCATATTTGTTTTTGAATTAATCGTCTTTAAAAATTTTTTTTTTCTCTTTTTCTTTTTGCGTTACAGTAATTGTAGTAATAGCTGAACATCTGTGGTAATTTATTCAAAAGTTGTTTGTAAACAAAACAAACTGCACAGTGTAGCTTTAGTTGGTTGAAGCTTAAATTATTTGTCTGCTGAAAAAGAGGTTTTGCATGAGTGAGTTTTTTTGATACTGTTATTGTCCTAATTGCTCTTTTCATTAATATTATTATTGGATTTGTTACTGTTGAACATGTACCTGACCAGATAATATTACAATAAGAAACGTGCGGCAAAACTATAGTGTTGTAAAGCATGTTCAAGCATGGTTTTGGTAAATAAAATTTGATTTTGTTTATGACCCCAATTGATCTTGACAATTTAGAACAGATGTTAGAAACATGTGGCTTAACTTTTGGGGTTCAACATAACTCCCAAAAATTTTACTGTCTTACTTTCTGTGATGAGAGACAACCTGAAGAAATGTCGACTCAACCCAGGCTCCTATTGTAATGATGCTTTTCGGCATTCGGAGAAGAGAAGGAATTGCAAGTCCGCGGTCGATGGATTTTAAAGAATTCAAATCGCTCACTTGATGATAAAAGAAAACGTCGTAAATTCGATGTTCAAAGCAGCATTGGCACGGGAGCATGAGTCTGTCAGTTTTGTTCACGGGGATGCTTGTCAAGAATTGGACTCTTTGCTCACCTGAAGACCCACCGATGACGCAATCCATCGTACCAACGGTGTAGTGTAGTAAATAAAAATGAAAAATTCGTAACAAAATAACTAAACGTCTATAAAATTCAATCTGGGCAAATTTCTTATAAGTGCCACTTGATAACAAAAATTCAATTTTTTATTAAATCAATCCAAAACTAAGTTATATATGATTACATTAAAAAGTAAAAAGTAAATTGTCAAAAAATGGTTACAAAAATCATATTTGCAAAAAATAAAAGAAGCAACAAACAAAAATTTTTAATTTTACTTATTTAACAAACAATTGAAAAAAAAATGATAATATATTTCATTGGATGTCAACTTTTGTGGTTTTTGCTGAAGCAAACTCGTTGATTATCTATCTCATCAATATTTAAACAATTCATTTCATTTTCTTCAATACTCAGCAATGCCAAGCTGCTTAATCACTGTTGACTCATTGTAGCTTTAAAATAATTTAGTATTAATTTTAATCTATTGAATGCTTTGGTTTCCGTATTTAGTTATAAATTTAAGAAGATCTTCTTATGTTAAAATATTTTTTTCACGAGTAGTCATTCTGCAGTCAGATATATCGTGATATAATTCAGTACAATCAATACTGAATGTAAACATTTTATTTTCAAGTTATCATTTTTTTGATTGTATAATATTTATTTATTTATTTATTTATTTGACCCAACTGACCAGAGGGCATTGACATGCCGCTTACCCAGTCAGGGAAAAAAATCAACAATTCTTCAAATATAATAAAAAAGAAAAAAAAAGAAGATTCAATAACTAATTAATAGTAACAGTGAAGCAGAAATATAATGAAAACAACCAAAATAATAAAATAACTACCAGTCACATCGTCAATATCATTCAGCTAATCATTAATGAGCAAAGTTAAAAAATAACAAGTATGGTCAAGGTCATAAACAGTGAATTAAATGTGAACAGCTAAAAATATATATACATACACACACACACACACACAAACACATATATACAGCATTTAATTCCAATAGAACACAACACGAGATTCCTATAATACAGTGTAAAAAGACAAGTTGAACAATATATGGAAAGCATAATTGTGTTAAATGTTTGAAATATTATATAATTTATAATATATCAAAGAGTAAAAAAAAAATGTATCTCGAAAAAGAAAGAAATGACAGGTTTTGCATAATATGGAGACCATAATCAGAAAAATACAAACAATAAACATGGATAGTTATTAAGTTATTTAATCTGCAAAAAATTTCTAAGGTCAACAGTAAGTAGTTTCGTTTTAAAAATGGCATATGAAGGTGAGGAAACTACTTCCTCAGGCAGTGCATTCCAAATTTTAACTATCCTGTTGCAAAAAAAGTATTTTGTTGTGTTGTTATTAGAATTGGATTCGTGCAGTCTACGGTGATGACCTCGAGTTGATAGATATGACGACGGGGTAAATTGATCAATCAGATCGGAGTTGATGATGTTGTTCAATATTTTGAATAAAAAACACAGGTCGAAAATCAATCTACGATATTCTAACGTTTGCAAGCCAACTGAGTTTAAACGTGATAGGTATGGAAGATGGCGAATTGAGGGGATGGCTTTAGTAAATCTTCTCTGAACACTTTCGATCTTCATCAGCTGATATCGATAATGAGGATTCCAGACAGGAGAACAATATTCCAACAAGGGACGAGTATAGGTACAATAAGCTTTAATTAGTAGGTTTTTGTCTCTTGATGTAAAACATTTAATTATAAGCCGAGCTCGTGTTGATGCCTTGTGCGTGATGTCATTGATATGCCGATTGAAGTTAAGTTGTTTGTCAATTATTACGCCAAGATCTTTAAAACACTCATTAGGTGTCAAAACATGGTGATCAATCGTGTATTGATTTGTAACTGTAGTATTTCTTGATGGAATGAAGGAACAAGTTGAGCATTTGTTAGGGGACAGTGGCAGTTGCCATTTGTTACTCCATGATACGATATTGTTGATTGACCGTTGAAGTTGAATAGAGTTAGATGATCGGGCGTATAATTTGATGTCGTCCGCAAAAAGCAGCATAGAAACAGGGCATGATGAAATGCAGTCATCTATATCGTTGACGAATATGAGAAAAAGAGTTGGCCCAAGGACACTTCCTTGGGGAACACTAAAATTTTTAAAATCCAGAAAGAATCCTAATTTTTGACCAGCTTCATTTAGTCATGCAAATCTGTCACTAATCTCTGAATTTATTCTGTCAACAGCGCTTTTCATAATTCTTCGTAGTTCTTCCTCGGCATGCAGACCAACGTCTTTACATGTTTCTTCAGACCATCGTTTTTTCTTTTTGTCCGTCTTTCAATTTCCACGTCGTACTGTTTGAACAGTTTTTTCCCGTTTCAATACATTTCTTGACAATTAGATCTTTGTTATTAAACAACTGATTTTTAAGGGCTTCAGTATCATTGGCTGCGTTATAAAAGTTTATTTTAAGATCCTGTTGCCTCTTTCGAACACGGTAAATGAATTTCAAAATTCGATACCAGAAACTTTTCAAAATAACAAAAAAATCAAACAATGTAAGAAATTTGCCCCAGATCTTGTTTCAATGGTCTGTGAAGCATTGTTTATTAATTGCTCCAGTAGGTACTATATATCAAATGATTTTCGAACTCTATTTCGTTTCAGATTCTGATTTAAGTGATATATGGACAGGACACCATCTTTCAATTTATACAATCGTTGTATTGATCATAAAAAAAAACATACAGCTCTTCATTTATTTATTCCAAAAAATGTTATCATTGCAATATCTTCTTTAGCTACATGTACACCCACTCAATTTAGGGAAGGGTTATTACAATTCACAAAAAGTGCTGAAGGATTCAATTTCTTTATACGTTCACTGTCACCATTTTCACGACCAGCCATAACATTAGCGTTGAGATCAACAATTTTCAAAATCTATTTTGTCTTCTTTTAATCTACTAGTAGCAGTTTCTACTAAACTTTTAGCATTTTCTTCAATTTGTATAAAACTCAAAAAAGATATTTTTATTTGAACAGTCGTAGTCAATATCAACATATCATAAACTTGGGACATTTGTTTACGACATATTGACTAATTTTTACCTAACAAAGGTTTGACAATATCTGCAATTACAACATTCCATTTGATGTTCTGTGCAATGATAGGATATGGATTTCAACAATGGTTTTTCCATGACAGGTAATACTTTGACCACTCGCAGTTGACAGGTGAACGGCAGTAGGTTGCAAACATAATCATGCTGAAAATTTTGTTGGAATGATTGTGACTGATGCGCCTGTATTTACTATTAATTTTAATGCTGTGCATCCAATTCTAGCGGCAACTTCAAAAAGTGGAGAGCCGATTGATGCGACTTCGGCTCGCCTGATCAGTTTTCCGACGGCTGGGGTAAAGAAATGTTGTCTGCGGGTGATCTTATCTGGGTTAGAGGTGGAGGTCTTGAAGATGGTTGAATTTGTAAACTTTTTTTGTTTGGCCATCTGCACCATGGTTTGCACATTTTCGATTTGTCGCCAAAATGTAAGTGCAGATTTGAGTGCGTTGGTCTTTATAAAATGGGCAAACGTTGATTAGGATGTTCGTATCAGGGATGCTGTTTGTTGAACTCGTTCTGTTGCAAAGTGTGTTGTTGTTTTTAGTGGTTTCTCTTTTCATAGCGTAAATTTCGTTTTAGCAAATGGGATTAGTTCATCTGCTAAATTTCCCAATCACTGTAGATCGAAATCTTTTTGTGCGGCGATGAATGGAGAAATTGTTGTTGGAAGAGCTTTTATAAATATATGACGTACAAGTTCGTCTCCCCCTCTAATTTTATTAGCTGTTGCTAATAATTCTTGTAAATAGTGTGATGGTCTGCCGGTCATTTTAGTATCTCCGATCAAGCGAGCGAACAATTCTGGTTTTGGTCTTTTGTAAATCGGTATCACCGCTGTTTTAAGGCCGTCATAATTTCTATCATGAAACAATTGTTGTGGTAATTTTGCAACCAAATTTGCCGGTAGCGATGATAGAATTTTCGATTAACTAACTTTTCGGAGATGAAACTGAGCTTCAGCAATTGCAAACCGTTCTGTCGATGCTGTATCCATAAAGGTGGGCAACTTGATGGATATCATGTCGATATTATTTAATCCGGATTCCGCCATGTTAAAAATTAAAAATTTATTGCGAAGAAGTCAGAAGAATCACGTCGGGGTCACCAATTTGTTAGTAGGAGCGTTCTGCTACTAACAAGACACCTTGTTGTGAAGTAAAATAAACAAAACAATTCAGGCGTAAAAAATATTAACTTTATTCTAACGTGAATCTCGAACCGTCTCGTTTACAAGCTCTCAGGAAAAAGAAAGAAGATCGAGAGAGAAGCAAAAAAATAAAAATTAACATAGATTAGGTAACATTGAAAATTGCAATAATCTTTAATAATAATTAATATATAAGATAATTAATAAATGATTGTTGATCTCTACAGAATCTGCGTTTAAACAAACAACTAATGATTTGGGCACCCTAATACCAAAGATTACTAATTTATATTTATTTTAAAATCATATTTTCAAATATTAAAAACTAAATTGATCGTTCGAACAAAATTAATTTGTATAATTATAATTTTGACAAATGTTATAATTTAAGCTTTTGATTTTATTAAAAAAATATAGAAATTTTTACAACGCGCCTTCTTTGTGTTAAAATATTCAAATTGATGGTTGGGCGCGTTTTGAAAAAATTTGTCAAACAAAAAATTACATTAATTTAGGCCATATATTTAGAATACCTAAAGAGAACCGAACGCACCCGCGCACATTTTCAGTTCGTTTTAGAGTCTGGTCTCATTTTTTAGTTCCCATGATTATACTTCATCTTTACCTTATTTTTTCAATTTTTATAGTTTATTGATAATTATTTAATCATTTTTTAAAAATTTTATTAATTTTAATTAATTTTTGATTGATTTATTTCATGCATTATTTAATTTATTTATGAGTAATTAGTGTCTTTTTGGTGTACGTATAGCGGAAGAAATTTGAAATAGCCATGCTTGACAGGCATCCCACTGATTTAGACGCTCTAATACCAAAGACCACTAATTTATATTAATTTCCAAATCGAGTATTCCCAGACTAAGATATATTTTAGCTAAATTGATAATTTTAATCAAAATATTTTGTTTAAATTTTATATAATTTTCTTAAATGCTTTTAATAATCTTTGGTTAGATATTATTTTTTATAGAAAAACTTCAAATCCACCCCCTCGAAATGGCACCCGGGCAATTACCCAGACTGCTCCCTCGCTACGCCACTGATATATATATATATATATATATATATATATATATATATATATATATTTGGTAACAGACTGTTGTTAACGCAACATTTCAAAAATTTAAAACTACTTTCAACATTGTTAAATTTTTTTATATTTCTTTTTTATTTATTAATGTCAGAGAAATCAGACATTTTATTGTTTTTTAAAAATTTTTATTAAATAAATTTGCAAATAGCTATTTCAAGTTATAGATAACACATCTTCAGTGCATTATATATAAGGTATGTAAGATATTTGATAAGAAGGAACAAGTAATTATTAATTTATATAAATTATTTAATTAAAACAGAAAACCAATAAAATAAATTTAATGACATTAATTAATATAAAACGCGATTTTTAAAATTTTAACGGCAAGATTGTTTATATTATGGTTGTTAAGATAAATATCAACGCTCAGCCGAGAAGCGCGAATTAATTTATTTAATTAACTACATATTAATAATATTATTTTTACAATATTGTAAAAATTGTTTAAATTGTTTAATTTAATGTATTAAATTTATTATATATATATATATATATATATATTTTGGTAACAGACTGTTGTTAACGCAACATTTCAAAAATTCAACACTACTTTCAACATTGTTCAACTTTTTTATATTTCTTTTTAATTTATTAATTTCAGAGAAATTAGACATTTCATTGTTTTTTAAAAATTTTTATTAAATAAATTTGCAAATAGCTATTTCGAGTTATAGATAACACATCTTCAGTGCATTATATATAAAGTATGTAAGATATTTGATAAGAAGGAACAAGTAATTATTAATTTATATAAATTATTTAATTAAAACAGAAAACTAATAAAATAAATTTAATAACTATAAACAATATAAAACGCGATTTTTAAAATTTTTAACTGCAAGATTGTTTATATTATGGTTGTTAAAGTAAATATCAACGCTCAGCCGAGAAGCGCGAATTAATTTATTTAATTAACGACATATTCTTAATATTATTTTAACAATATTTAAAAACGTTATTATTATTATTATTATTGTTGTTGTTAACGTTATTATTATTATTATCATCGCTGTGGTTCTTCTTGCTTCTTGTGATGATGTTCCATTTGCAAGTGATATTTGCGCTGTGGGTTATAGCGTTGGTATCTACGGTGTTGACACTGTTGTTGTTGTTGTTGTTGTTGTTATTGTTGATGCTGTTGTTGTTGATGTTGTTGTTGGTGTTGTTGATGTTGTTGTTAGGGTTGTCACTATTGATGATGTTCCAATTGCAACTGATATTTGCGCTGTGGGTTGTAGCATTGGTATCTACAGTGTTGTTGTTGTTATTATTGTTGATGTTGTTGTTGGTGTTGTTGATGTTGTTGTTAAGGTTGTCACCATTGGTATGATTGTTGTTTACATCATCAATATTGTTGGTGATAACATTGTTATAATTATTGCTGTTGTCGTAATTGTTGTTGTTATAATTATAATGATTGTTGTTTTTATTTAGTAGTCTATTTGAAGGTAGAATGTTGTTAGACTGTACTTGAATGTTCATGGAGGGATTTTTGTTTTGTATGAAAATTGATTCAGCTATTTTCAGGTTTGTGATGTTGTTATTGCAATAAACTATGTGCGTGTTATTTAACATTTGTCGTGTTAAAGTGATGTTATGCTGTTGTTGATAATGTTGTTTAATTGCTCCATCTTGTAGATGCATGGTCAAACGTCTTGACAAAGTGGTAGTTGTCATTCCAATATATGAAGCATTGTTGCGGTGCGAACATTCACCGACGGAGCATTTATATTCATATATTAGATGACTTTGTTGTAGTTGAGTAGTTGCAGGAAGGCAATTATTTTTCATGATTAGTTGGGATGTTTTTAAATTTTGATAGTAAATTCGAAGAACAGCATTATTAATTGGATTTGAGGCTACTACGTTTCTGCGTATTATTCCTTTTAAAATTCTTTCATCTTCTTTATACGCCATTGAAAAGGTATTTTTGTAATAAAATATTATCTTATTTTTGTCATTCATTTTGTTGTCGATTTGGTTTCTAATGATACGGCTGTTGTTGTTGCGGTTGTTGTTATTGTTGTTGTTATT